GCTGGAGTGCAGTGACATGGTCTTGGCTCATTGCAACCTCTGCCTCCCAAGTTCAAGCGAATTCTCCTGCCTCAGCCCCTGAATAGCTGGGATTATAGGCGCGTGTTACCGCACCTGGCTATTTGTAATTTCAAAAAAAATTACTGTATTTGTATTTTCAGTAGAGATGGGGCTTCACCATGTTGGCCAGGCTGGTCTTGAACTCCTGACCTCAGGAGATTCGCCTATCCCAGCCTCCCAAAGCTGGGATTACAGGTGTGAGCCACCGTGCCCAGCCAGTGATGATGTTTAAATGAAGTTCTCCTGAGCTTCATGTCCATCTAACTTTGTGGTCCTTCAGATACCACAGAGACAACATGCCCAAGTCTAAAACCGCAACCTCTTATCGCATTTCCTCTGATGGTGAACCAGTGCACTGTCTACTCAGGGGTCATCCTTCTTTTCTGTTCTTCACGTATTTATACAGTAGACATTTATTGAACATTGTAAAAATACCGAAAAAGATGCAGAGATCATAAGACATATTGTTCCTGTCTAGAAAGTGCTGCCGTCAATTACAGAACTTATGTTCAAACAGCTCATACCGTAATATAAAGTATAATGCATTACTGGCCATCATGGCATTTCAAAAATCAGTTACCAGTATCTAGTTCTTCTTATATCCTATTTCCCGCAAGTGCATACATCTTAAGTAAACTAATTTGGATGTATACACATGCATTACAAAGGAAGGGTTTATTAGAGTTTATATATGGCCATTACTAAAAGTTTCCTTTGCTTTACCTTGTATTCTTTCTTCTTCTATATTTTAGGACAGTAGGGGTACATTGTACTGTATCAGGCTTATTATCAGAGCTTCATCTTCAGCATGTTCCCTGCCTTAACTTTTCATAAGTCACCAGGTCCTATTAATTTGGTTCTTTCTCCTTAATATCTCTTGTATTGAATCCTTTCTAAGCATTATTAATATCATTCTTTGCTAACATATTTAACCAAGTTCTTTCTCTGTCTTCATTGAGGACCCATCCACGCAATGCCAGTCTACACTACTACCAGATGCAATTTCTTAAACCCAGATCAAATTTTGTCATTCTTCTTTTTGAAATAATTCAGTGGTTCCCCATGATGTTCAGAAGCTGGACTAGGACCTATGTGATCTGACTCCTACCCATTCTTCCACCCTCTTATTTCACCATCTGCTTCCCTGCCTCCATTTTTCCTCACCATCTGTATAGTTAAGAGTGTGAACTCTAGGGTCAAATTGCCTCGGTTAAAATCCTGGCTCTGCCACTTACTAGCTATGTAACTTTGGGAAAATCACTTAGGTCTTCCGTGCCTCAGTTTTCTTATCTGTAAAATGGGGGAAGTAGTAGTTCCTATTTTATATAGTTATTGGGAAGATTCAATGAGTTAATACGTGTTAAATGCTTACAACAGGGCCTGGCCCATAGCAAATAACTAATACAGACACTTCTCAACTTATGATGGGGTTACAGCCCAATAAACCCATTACAAGTTGAAAATATTGTAAGTCAAAAATGCATTTAGGCCTGGTGCAGTGGCTTACTCCTGTAATCCCAGCATTTCAGGAGGCCAAGGCAGGAGGATTGTTTGAACCCAGAGTTTGAGACCAGCCTGGGGAACGTAGGGAGACCCCATTTCTACAAAAGTAACCAAATTAGCTGGATGTGGTGGCCCACGCCTATAGTCCCCGATAAGCAGGAGGATAGCTTGAGCCTGGGAGGTCAAGGCTGCAGTGAGCTGTGATGGTGCCACTGCACTCCAGCCTGGTCAACAGAATGCAGACCCTGTCTCAAAAAAAGAAAAAAAAAATGCATTTAATACACCTAACCTACAGAACATCATAGCCTACCTCCCTAACCTACCTTAAACGTGCTCAGAACACTTATATTAGCCGACAGCTGGGCAAAATCACCTGGCAACAAGGAACACTGTCGAATCTCAGTTGTCTACTTTCATGATGGTGTGGCCGACTGGGAGATGTGGCTCTCTGTGGCTTCCCGGCATTGTGAGAGAGGATCCCACTGCATGTCATTAGCCTGGAAAAAAGATCAGAATTCCAAACTCAAAGCACAATTATTACTGAATGTATATCACTTTCACACCATCATAAAATCAAACCTTCATAAGTCTGGGACCATCTGTATATATTTGTGTGCATGTGTTGCTGTTATTGTTGTTGTCATTCATTTATCGGCTTTGTGTCTTTCTTTTTGCATATGCTGTTTCATATGCCTGGAATCACCCACTTCTCCTTGTCACCTGGCTGACCCCACTCATCTTTTGAACTTCAGTTTAGGTGTCAGCCCCTTGAAGGAGCCTTCACTCTGCCTTCCCACTCCAGGCTGGATTAGTTGCATCGCCTATGTGCTCCTGTAGCACTGGTGCACACCCACATCATAACATTCATCACACCAGATAAGGGGTATTGACACTGTGATTTTGAACACCATAAGTGACCTAAAGGTCCATGATGTTTAATAATTTGCAACGACACAAAATAATTATTTTATAATGATTGTATAAATATATGATTATTGTATTAGTCCATTCTCAGGCTACTAATAAACACATACCTGAGACAGTGTAATTTATTAAGGAAAGTTTAATTGACTCACAGTTCAGCATGGCTGGGGAGGCCTCAGGAAACTTACAATCATGAGTGGAAAGGGAAGCAAACATATCCTTCTTCACATGGCGGCAGCAAGGAGACGTGCCAAGCAAAAGGGAGAAAAGCCCCTTATAAAACCATCAGATCTCGTGAGAACTCACTATCATGAGAACAGCATGAGGGTAACCACCCCTATGATTCAATTACCTCCCACCAGGTCCCTCCCACAATACATGGAGATTATGGGAACTACAATTCAAGATGAGATTTGGGTGGGGACACAGCCAAACCATATCAATTCTATTATTTTGTAGATGATTATATCAAATAATCTTGATTCTTGGTATTAAATAAGGCAAGGCATGAGTTTGGGGAATCACATTAGCTCAGGATGTATCCATCCCAGAAGTAAAGGTTCTCCTACACTTTAATTTTCTATTTATTTGTATGCTTCCAATATTAAATTCTGGGGTCCCGAATGCGGTGAGAGCTGTTTTATCTCTATCCTTAGTGCTTTACATTCACCAGAGATTCAGTTAATATTTGTTGAAAAGATGAATGTGTATTTTTAATTTAATACAGAAAATTCTTTTTTTTTTTCCCAAAAATCTGGCTTTGCCCCTGAGCCGTGGTTTGAGGTGCTGACCCTCTTCCCAGGAAAATACACGCATGGCTCATTTCAGAAGGTTTAAGGTACAGACCTTGCCCTAGAAGATGGCCTCCTGTTTAGTCAAAGAGAAGAAGGGAAGAAATGTGTTTCTTTCAATACTAAATAGGACTGATTTAATGAAAAGACTCAATTGGAATTCAACTCCTTTGAGATAGATACGACTCCATTCTATCTTTGCCCAACAACTTCTTGGAGAAGGTGATATTTATGTACTTTAGACAGAGGCAAATTTGGATCCTAATTTAGGAAAATGAAGTGAAATCAGTCATATCTGTAGGTGTTTTGGGTGCCTAATTTGGGCATATAGACAAACCTCCTGCCCAGGTAGCTCACATATGCCTCCTACTTCTACAATAGCTACAATTTCTCTTCTTATTGGTACTCTTACTGACGGGGGCATTCAAGACTTTGCCTTCGGTGGCTTATCTGAGAGGTCTAACACATTTAGGCACAAATGCCTGAAGGAAAGGCACGAATGCCTGAAGGAAAGGCGCATAGACAACCACATTGTCTGATGACAGTTGACTGCCCAGGTTAGAGCCTAGCAGGGTAAGTCTGAACAGAGAGCTTTTAGCTTCACCCTGTCATGGGGACTCAGTCAGCAAACATCATCTCTCTTATAATTAAGGCAGGCTCTAAAATTGCATGAGCAACGATGAGGTGCTTTGGTAGCTCTTTCAAAATGCTTCTTAAATACACTTCTAACAAGTTAGCTTCTGTGGCTCTCAACGGCACAGATCATGTGCCTACATATGAGTGAGACGTAGCTGGGGTTAAAATCTATAGGCAAGTTCTGAAGACTAGAGAGAAGCTTTCCAAAGCACATCCAGATCAATGATGTTTTAAATAGGGGCCAGGACTGGGGTGGGGCTGGTGTAGGGGAATGTTGGGGGAAGCCACATGCATCTCTGAGTAGGAAAGCCACATGCACCCTGCCATCACGAGAATCACTGAGAGTAATGAGAAGTACAGTTTGTGGCAGTGTGGTGAACACACAAGTGAAAAGGAAACTAGGCAAAATGGTTGCAGGCTGGGACTTAGATTATAGTCCATTCATCCCACTTGCAGACAAGCAATTAGGGTCCAAGGTGTTACAGGATGGGCTTTTCCTATCACCTCGGGCATCTCTTGGGATCTCATTGTATACCACAAGACCTCTATATTACAAAGTGGTTTTTGGTGCATTGTTTTTTTTAATTACTAAAAGCTTTTTGATGGGTTTCATGACAAACTCTTACGAACAAGAAGAAAAATGTGAACAATGATGAATAACTACAAGTACTTGTCAAAGTGACATGAAAGTAGCTGGTAATAAGGAAAATATTGAGCAGTCCAATTGTACTGGAATGATTTAGTACAATTTAGTAATACTGTCTTAGATAGTATACATTTAATTGAGCCCCTGGAATCAGAGATGACTCTCAATGTTAGCAATTTTCCCAGGAACAAGATGAAATCATTCAATTTAACTTTAGGAGAAAGTATTGTATGTTTTATAGAAAGCTTAGGAATTGATTTATTGGCCCATTGATTTGAACCACTTTTATAATTCTGGCACACTCCACATATTAACAATTCTTTCTAATCGCTACTTGGCTGGGTAATTTATGCATAGGTCAGGAAGTCAACCTGGGCTGTAGCTGGTTCCATGTACTTATCATGTGAAATGACAGTTACTATCTGTTTTCTTCCTGATAGGGCCTGTGCTCCCTTCAGAGACTCACACCAGTGGTTTATCATGAGAAGGACTGCACTATTTGATTTCACTCCTACAAGTTTTCATTGACGTTACACATTGAGAAAGTTATGAGAAGCAACTGTCACTCTCTTGAGGTGGAGACTGCCGTGATTCACAAAGACAAGAGGTAATTTTCCTGTAATCACAGGATGACTCAGGTTAGTAGCTTTCAGCCCTTCAGCAACTCACATACTGTGAGGCGTTTTTAGCAATGTGCATCTTTAGCGAATCTAATTCTTCCCAATCCCTATAATTTTAAATTTATGACAATGTGATACAAAGTACGTTGGAATTTGTTTTTGCACAAGGTGGAAAACAGTGTTTGAAAGTAGTTGTACGGGGTAAGTAAAAATTATAAGAACATATTTAGCATTTTTAGAAAGCAAAATGCTTTTGTAGGACTTAAACATATTTTTAAATGAGATTTTTATCACACAAAAGTTTACAGTATCACTTGTACTTGGAAATGATATATAGATGTTAAGTGTGAAGTCGCATGTATTAAAAAGTAAAATTAAAAAGCTATGCATCTTGTAATTAGGTCTTTTTTATAATATAAAAGACCTGTCTTTTAACTGTCCGGGCCAACTTGCATTTTCAGTTTAGAATTGTAGTTTAAGTATGTCTTTGAATTTTAAAGCAGAATTTTATGCTCTCTCTTTTTTAATTCTGTGTCCTCTGTGGCACTTATAATAGGAGAACCATTTCCAGTATTTCTATTGCTTTTTAGTTATGAAAAAGTGACCATTGTATGCCTAGATTGTACCTATAATACAGACCTGGCTGGATGCGTTGGCTCATGCCTGTAATCCCAGCACTTTGGGAGGCCGAGGCAGGTGGATCACCTGAGGTCTGGAGTTCAAGACCAGCCTGGCCAACATGGTGACCCCATCTGTACTAAAAATGCACAACTTAGCTGGGCGTGGTGGTGGGCCCCTGTAATCCCAACTACTCAGGAGGCTGGGGCAGGAGAACTGCTTGGATCCAGGAGGCGGAGGTTGCAGTGAGCCAAGATCGCGCCACTGCACTCCAGGCTAGGCGACAAGAGCAAGACTCTGTCTCAAAACAACAACAGCAACAACAACAACAGACCTCTGGGGCAGCAAATCAGAAAACACAAAATAAAACTGGAAAAGCTCAGTCTTAGTTCTGCTTTCCTCCAAGTGCCCACTGACCCACAGCTGGCTCTTTAGGATTTATGACCAAAGAGTCAAGGACCAGCTTGTACAGAGTAAAGAAGTGCTGTTTTGCAGAGGGAACTAAGAAACAGCTCCTTGATTCATTGGCTCTACAATTAATTATTGAGTGATGCTCTGTGTTCTGCACTATCCTAGGCTCTATGATGTACAGATGAGACATAGATATAGATATATAAAAACGTCACATTTCCATCTCTGCCCTCCAAAACCTTATAATCTAGTTGGGAACATATATATAGTTGAGAGTTCATGACAGTATCTGGAAAAATGCCCTAAGAGTGATAGAGATAATAAGTTTGCAGTGTACAGAAGTCCTGGGGCCAGGCACAGTGGCTCACACCTGTAATTCTAGCACTTTGGGAGGCCGAGGCAGGCAGATTGCCTGAGCTTAGGAGTTCGAGACCAGCCTGGGTAACATGGTGAAACCCCATCACTACTAAAATACACACACACACACACACACACACACACCAGCCATGTGTGTGGCGTGCGCCTGTGATCCCAGCTACTCAGGAGACTGAGGCAGGAGAATTGCTTGAACCCAGGAGGCGGAGGTTGCAGCAAGCAGAGATCGTGCCACTGCACTCCAGCCTGGTGACAGAGCAAGACTCCATCTCCCCCCCGCCCAAAAAAAAAAGTACTGAGACGGATGATTTTTATCTGTAGTTATGCATGAATCCTTTATGTAGGAGGAAGAAACTGTGCTAGACTTTGCAGACCAGAAGATTTTGGCAGGAGGAAGTGATAGGAGAGCATTGCAGGTGAGAGAGAATAGACTGCTGGCTTCAGCAAAGACCTGAATAAGGTCCCGAGCAAGTCCCACTTGGGAAAAAGTGAGTAGATTTGTGTGGGTAGAGCTGAGAGTTTGAGGTACTGTAGTTGCAGGATGTAAGACTGGAAAAGTGGACTGGCCCAGGTCAGGGAGGCTTTTCATGCAGACCGAGGAGTGCAGGTGCTATCCAGTAGGCAGTAGAGGTCCCCTGAAGGGCTTTCAAGAAGGAGTGAATATTATCCAATGGGTTGTATAGAAAAATTAACCCTGCACTGGCATGAAATACAGATTCTAACCAACTTTTCTTGAACTCATAGAAGAAAAATCATGAATTGTAGCCAGCAAACCAGGAATGGCATGTGTGCTACGTGGTCTACGCAGTTACCTTTTACTATAGGAATGTGTTGTGTCTCCAGCCAAGTGGACATTAACAGAGAAGGTTGTGTTGCCAACTCCCATCATTATGAATATATTAGAAGGGATAGATGTAGGCGGTGCAGAGACAGCGAGAGGAACAGACAGACCAGCTAGACTAGCTGAGATACTAGGGGATGGCAGTACAAACAGAAAGACAGAAAGGGGGCAAAGGTTCCAGCACTGCGACAACTTTGATCTTCTAGGCTGGCATTCCAATAGCACATTGCCATCTCAGTAGATTCTTTTGCTCCAACAAGAGTCCCTTCATCCATTTGTGATGAGTCCCGTTGGCAACCCTAGTGGCCATGGTACCTCCCTTTCACTGTGGCCCCCACTGGGGTAGACGCTGTTGTTGTGAAGGAGCATTCGAGTTTGTAATACTTTAGTCCTTTTGCTATACACGTCAAAATGAACTAAAGCAAGGAGGAGGATGTGTTGGGAATGCCTAAGTAGCTGGCACAATAAAAGGAACCGCTGCAAACCAAACCTCAGGAAAGTTACAACTTGGGATGAGACATGAGGATCTTTGCTTCAGGGCTGAGCCATCAGCAGTTCTGCTCCAACCTCTTGTCAATTTCCCAGGCCAGGGAGAATAACTGTCTGAGATTGGATCATGTACCCACCGCACTGCCACTGTCAGTGTGCCTGGCAGGCCCCAGTGACACTTGGAGTCTGAGAGAGGTGCAGTTCCCCAAAGGAACAGAGGATAAACAGAGGCTTTTAAAAGTATTTTAATCTCTAAAATGTCTGTGATTGCAAATAGTGGTCATATGTGCATGGCCTCAGGCTTGGGAAGGGATCAGATATTCCCCAGAATCTTAGATCTCCAAAATTATGTTTCACTGCTACCTCTGATGGACCCTCTGCTCTTTCAAACTAATGTCTTTTTTGTTTTTCAAAAAGATACTGATATTGACTAGAAGCTTTCTCATTTTTTAAGAAGACACTGACGTTGACTAGAAGGTATTGACTAGGCAATACTTTCATGCCTGCATGCCTCTAGCTCCGTGGATTAAGCATCTTTTCTCTTTCTCCCTTTCCTTTCCTTCCTTCTGTAGCGGTCAGCTCTTCAAATACATCAAGTGCCCTGAAGTGACTTGATTTATACGCCTTACTTATGTTAGAATTCTCAAGTTTGCTACTTTCCCTGAAAAGCAGGCTAAGAGGACCTGAAAATCACAGTGACTTGTCCACCTTTGGGGAACCCTGGAATTGATTCTTCTTGCAAGTGCAATTTAAATGACAAGAAACGAATATTTTCCTTTTTTTTTTTTTTTTTTTTTTAAATTTGAGATGGAGTTTCGCTCTTGTTGCCCAGGTTGGAGTGCAATAGAGCAATCTCGGCTCACTGCAACCTCCACCTTTCAGGTTCAAGCAATTCTCCTGCCTCAGCCTCCTGAGTAGCTAGGATTACAGGCATGCACCAACATGCCTGGCTAATTTTTGTATTTTTAGTAGAGACAGGATTTTTCCATGTTGGTCAGGCTGGTCTCGAACTCCCAACCTCAGGTGATCTGTCCGCCTTGGCCTCCCAAAATGCTGGGATTACAGGCGTGAGCCACCGCGCCTGGCTGAAACAAAAATTTTCAAATCTTGCCCACGCTTCTAGGCTGAGTTCCAAGGCACAGTTCCCGATCTCTCAAGCATTCATTTGAAGATGTGTCAGCTTACACACACATAGGGCTCACTGAAAATTTCCCTTTTTAATAATTTCCTATTATTCTGGAAATGAACATAATATATTAAACTTCAAAGCAATACAACTCTAGACTTTCTAGAGCAAGAACTTTTAACCTTTGGCATTATTTTGGATTTTAGTTTCTTAACACAAAGGTTCAAGCAAGTTTCAGTTGCAGTTAGAAGTCGTCAAAATCTAATTTCCATTAGTGATACATGCGTAAAAAGTTATACGAGCAATTGATATTTGATTATATAAATCTAGTTTGAGTGCTAATTGGAGTAGATATAAACAAATATATACAAAATTATATATTTTTACCTTTTCTTCTCTTTATTCTTTATACATATTAAGTCATAGCTCTTAGCTTTTCGTCTGCTTTTCTTACTCCCCGTTTCTGGCTTTCTTTGCACTAACATATATGCACCACATGATAATCATTCAATACATATATTCATTCCCCCGTTTCTTCTCCTTTTACTTCCCCTGGTTTCTTTCTTCTTTTCCTTGTCATTCTATCTTGATTCTTTTCTTGATTTTTACTAAAAAAAACTTCATTGATACATATTTTTGTCTTCTTTGTGTTGTTTTTGTTCTAGGTTTGGTTTCTTTGGAGGGAACACTGATTCTTCTGTTAGTTGTGTGTGTTTCGGGAGATTCACCATCCAGATATCAATTAGGCCCCAAGTCATTGTTGTCTTAGGTTCTAAGGCTTATAAATATTATAATATTTTTCAGAAAGATTTTATTCTCTGCAGAATAAAAAGCTCAGCAGATTTTTCCAATAACTGCACATATAAAGAGCCACATAAACAGTAGACTGAATATTACAGATGATCCACATGGGAGTAATAAATGAGGACACTCTAGTTTGTCCATACATTCTTCGTAAGGTACTGAAGTCACTGAGAATTGTCTTAACGAGTAACAGTAACAATGAAACAGCAAGGTAATTCGAGAATGAAGGTAAGTAGCAATAGCAACCACCTGCTGCTACAAGCGGAGGATCGTGTAGCCTCCTTGCTGGACCTTTACACAATTTTATGTTCCCATCTATTTAT